GATAACTGTATTAATGAATGTGCTCAGATACTAAAGTAAGGAGGGGAACATAAATGTACCTTATTGCACCATTTTTTTAAACAAGAGAGAAACTGTGTTAGGAGGCTTGTCTTTGCAGGGTTGTGTAAGTCACTTATGTGCTAGGGCATCTGTCAGTGGCAATTGCACGGAGCTACAAAGAATGCTTTGTGAAAAGCCCTTCAAGATATTATACACTCTGATGTTCAGTAGACACCAGTCTGTGTAAAGCTGCAGCAAAGGGTCTTGTTCTCAGCTGTAAAATCACCACAGGCTCTCTTTTCAACAGCCGTGCTTTGTAAGCTGTTCACAGATGAGCAGAAAGAAGAGCATCTCGATGAGTAATTTGTGAAATTTAAATGGACTGTTTATTCACACTGGGCAATCTGTGAACCTGAGCCTGCAAATCCTTATTTGTTGAGTGTAGTCCAGCTGACTTCACAGGTTTGCATGAGGAAGGCCTACTTAGGTGGAAAAGGACTGCAGGGTTGGGTTCTAATATAATAAAGATGTACTTAACTGCTTTGCTGGACTGGGACCTCAGGAGGTACAGTGACTGCTATTTCAGCCCTGAGACTAGAATACGAGCTGCAGACTGCTAAGGCGGCTTGTCCTACCCATAAGTTAAAAGCATGAATTCCCTCCCCTGCCTAGCCTTTGCTTAGTACCTTGCACAAACACCAACTAATCAGGATTTGTGAGAGGGGTTGCATTTCAATGATCTCAAATTGCTTTCCGTTTTGTGCTAAAGACCTTAATCCTACTGGCTGCATAGCAGTGAACTCTAAGTTGTGTTCAAACACTTGTCAGTGAGACTACTTTTACATAAGTAGGTCTACACTTATGGTGGTGTGTACGACACTACACACTGAGGCACTGCTTTGGTCAAGGCTGCCCAGAGGATTCAGGGGGCCTGGGGTCTTCGGCGGCGGGAGGCCCCCGCCGCCGAATTGACGCCGAAAACCTGGCACTTTGGCGGCGGGTTCCGGGGCGGAAGGACCCCCTGCCGCGGGTCTTCGGGGCACTTCGGTGGCGGGTCCCGGAGCGGAAGGACCCCCCGCGGCCGAATTGCTGCCGAAGACCCGGAGCGGAAGAAGCTCCAGGGGCCCGGGCCCCGCGAGAGTTTTCTGGGGCCCCCGGAGCGAGCGAAGGACCCCGCTCCAGGGGCCCCGAAAAACTCTCGTGGGGGCCCCCGCGGGGCCCGGGGCCTGGGGCAAATTGCTCCACTTGCCCCCCCCCCTGGGCAGCCCTGGCTTTGGTGCGTTGAACAGAGTGCCCTACACGTCTGAACCCTAGAGTATATATCCTACACGGCTCTCTATCTGCCCAAACAGCACCTCCCATGTCTACATTGCTATTTCTAGCAGTGTAGTGTCCTGCTGCTTCCTTGCTGCTGGAGTCTTTCCCTGCCTCACTGAAAGACTCCAGCTGCAGAGAAAGGCTCTGGTAGGGGGGAGGCAGCAGGGGAAGGTCCCGGCAGCTTCCTGCTGCCTCCCCTTGCAGGAGCCTTTCACTGTTGTATGTAGCCACACAGACACTACACCCTGTCACAAGTGTAGGCCAGGTCTAAGAAGATTAGACTGTAGAATCATAGACTCGTGGGACTGGAAGGGACCTCGAGAGGTCATCTAGTCTAGTCCCCTGCACTCATGGCAGAACTAAGTATTATCTAGACCATCCCTGACAGGTGTTTGTCTAATAGTTTGAAGGGCAAATGATGTTGAGACCCTAGGTTGAGTATGTATCAGTTTCAGCAAAAACTCACTTTACAAACCATTATTTCACTTCTTCCTACAAAACACACATTTATTAAATCTAGTTTGTCTCTCTGAATCCATTAAAACAAAATTATCTCAGTAAGATTCCTCAGATAGAGCTTTTTCTGATAGACCCAAACACCCAACTGTTCTGGCCAGTAGTTGGGTGTGAGGGTAATGGCTGTAAAATATTGCCTGAGGCACATCATAGTTTTTGGGATTGAACAAAACCAAATGTAGGTAATACTGAAAATTAGGGTTGCCAGATGTCCAGTTTTCAACTGAACACCCAGTCGAAAAAGGACCCTCCCCAGCCCTGTGAAAATGAGTGAGCAAGTGAGGGTGGGGAGAGCACGCAACAGACGGAGGGGGAAAGATGGAGTGAGTGAGAAGGGGCCTCAGAGAAGGGGCGGGGCAAAGGTGTTTGGTTTTGTTCGGTCAGAAAGTTGGCAACCTGAATTAGTTTGAAAAAGTTTTGTTTGCTTTTAAAAATAAATGTTATGCCACTTGAACCATGTTACGCCACTCAAACCAATGCCCTAAAATGGGAATGCTAAAATTATTATGAGAAAGATTAGCTTTGTAGATATCAAACTTACTGATACCAGAACCCACTAGCCATTTTAGGCAGGGATTGGGATATGTTTCAGAGAATCATCTGCACCTTTGAATGTTTATTCAAACCAAAGCTTTGCTCACCACCACAAGAAGCAGCTGTCCCAGCGCAAATTAAACATGTAACAAGGAGTCTGAGTTTTAAAAAAAACTATAGTAACAGTAATATAAACAGCAAGCAAAATAAAACTACAAACTACCAAGAATGAATTACAAACTTTCAATCATGTATTTTTTTTATTTGTATGCAAATTAAATAAAATACAGATTTGTTTTTTTATAAGAATATAAACGTAGGAACCTAGGAAATTCCATACTAGGTCAGACCAGTACCCAGGACCAGATGCTCCAGACAAAGGTGCATGAAACCCCATAACAGACAATGATGGAATAACCATCAGTTAGTGGTTGATTTATGCCCTGAAGCATGAGGATTTATATCCCTTTAAAAAATGTATATATATATAATATAGAACAATCTGCACACTTGTTACATAGATTCCTGTACATGGCTATGTACAATATACTGAAGGGATCATAGTTTACACCTGATGTCTTAATTGTAAGCACCAGGCTCTAGCCATAAAAGCAGACTTTGTACCTTTTTTCCTGTTAAATTAAAACTATGGACATTGTCCCTTTCACAGTGATAATATTAGCTTTAAAAACTGGTTATGAAGAACACTGGACCGTTACAATTAAGCTGTCCAATAGGGTTGCATCCAATGTGGCTGTCTTGGTTTGCATGGTTCCACTCAAACAAAACTAGTGGTTTAATTTGTGACCGTCTCCCCACAATCCTAGTTTTATGTTTGCATGAAAATAAAGGGTAAGACCTGGCCCCACTGAAGACAATGGCAAAACTACAATTGACTTCAGTGGGGCTGGGATTTCACCCAAAAGCGCTAAACAAAACTTGAGCAACCCCTTACAAAACACACCAGTTTCATAATGAAATAGATGAGTTTCCCAGTGCATCCCTTCTTGTTTTAAGGGTTTTTGTTGAAGGATAAGGAAAGTCAATGGCCAACAGTAGCCATTGGGTTCCCTATCATCATGGGGCAGGTCAGCACCAGAATGAGGCAAAAGGCTTTATAAGTAACAGCAGCAATAGAGCCTGAGCAGAATGTGCTAATCCCCACTGTTCAGGATGAGCGTGGTAAGATGTCCACTCCCAAGAAATGTGGGATAAAGGGACTGTCAGCTGTCCTCTTTCCTGGTAAGGTGGAAAAGGGTAGATAACTGATCTGCCCAGAAGACACTTAGAGGTAAGAAGAATTCATAGCTTATTAGGTGTAAGGAAAGGTCTTGGGCAAATCTTCTCTGAGATTTATGGTACCTTGGAGAGTTTTTGTGGCACCTTAGAGACTAACAAATTTATTAGAGCATAAGCTTTCGTGGGCTACAACCCACTTCTTCGGATGCATATAGATGCATGTAGAGCTCAACATACATTTATTCAGGTACCAAATGCAGAAATTAA